CCCTAAGGTACCCGCACAGCTTCTGGACACCAAAGGGCTTAGCAGGGCCAACACAGCCTATGCAGAGGCTGCTGACAGTGAGTCACACCAGGACGAACGGGAGACACATGGCTTGAGCCCAAGCAAATAAGCTCAGTAGGAGTCATGCTTTGCGGTGGTGGTATCAGTCCAAGTGGGTGACTAGAGAAGAGGCAGCAGTAGCACAAGAGATGGGAAATGAGGAGAACATGGAAGAAAATGGGTTATGCAAGTAGGAGGGAAGGGAGCATGTGAAGAAACAGCAATCAGTGGTAAGGGGGAAAGAAGAGCAAGGAGAGAGGGAACTAGTAGCAGTGAGGCTTACCTAAAAAACCATCAAGGACCACTAGCCTAGAAAGTAGAGTCTTGGCATGGGACTCAGGAGACAGGAATTTTATTCTTGGATCTGCTGTGGACATGCTGGGTTACCTTGCTTGGGGCATTTCAATTTTCTGTGCCTCATCTTCTGTTTCTGTGACACTATCCCCTTTCTAAAGTGTTCTGAGGTCAAAAGAGGAAAAGCAGTATTTAAGTAGGAACAGTTGTTATAATATATCTACTCAGAATTAAGGCACCAAAGGAGAGTAGTGTCTCTCCATTATTTAAAAGATGCCATGTTTCCTTGTGTGCAGAAAGGCACTGTGCCCCTATAGGAATCTGTTATCTTTTGTACTTTAAAGCAGAGGATTATTATGGAAAATGATTAAGCACCAACACAGTTAAAATGACAGAGCATCTTCATTTTTGATTGGCAACTCCTCTGTTGCCCTAATTTAGGTACCACATGTCTTCATGCATTCAAATAAGTAAAAACAAAGCAAAAGCTAAACTCATTTGACATCTGTAGCAAAAAAACTAAAATCATGTCAGAACATTAAAAATCTCCCAATTCTTGGCCCCACTTGTAAATATAAAAAAATGTAAAAATGCAGAGTCTTATAGCAAAGTGTTCATGTACACTTAGAAGATTATGATGATCAGGGAGTACTGGAATCATACTGAATTGAAATTCAGCAATTTCCACTGACAAGGTCTTGATCCCAAACCCTGAAGACAGAACTCCCTCCAATATTGTATTGTATCTGAATAACAAAGTGATATGAATTGAGCGGCTAGCCAACACAGGAATTGGACTTAGATTCTACTCCCCCCCAACCTGCAAAGGCTCATCTGAAAATTAACTGAAATCCAACATGTCACAAAATAAAAATTCCTGAGGAAGTTTTGCAAAATAAACGTCACCTCTGAATTTTCTCATCCCCACAGCCAACTTTTATACAGGAATAATTACTTTGTTGCTCTTATTTCAAATCAAGCTGAAAAATGTGTTCTCTCCCAGTACTCTAAATTTATGCTTGCTCACTCTCCCACAAGGTAACATGGTTCATACAGGTCATGATTCAAATAAAGAGACCATTTTCATTGCTGGGTATTTTCGGTCACATAGGCTCTTTCCATGTCCTACAGAGGCACTGATGAGTAAATACTGTCTCTGCATTAAAAATAGGTGAATGCAGAGACAACTGATGGATGAATCTGAATGAAACGCACAAACAGCTGAAGTATGTGCCTTACTTCAATCCCTTCAAACCTCTAAATGGGTTACAAAATAACAACAGCTTTACACATGCAGTTTCTCCAAATTAACTTCAAAGGCACATATGGTAAACTCCTCTCTTTACAGTTATTTTTTGGAACATTCATCCAACAGAAGGCCATTTCCATACAATCAAAGCATTTTAATTCAAGGTTATTAAATTATTCTAACATAGAGCAAAACATCTAAGACCAGCATTTATCAGGAATTAAGAATAGCACAAAGCTAAAAGAAAAGGACAAAGCGTGTACTACTACTTTTTCTGCATGTAAATCAACAGCTCTGTGTCCAAGTGGAGAACAGTGACACATGGTGTTCCTCAGGCGATGTTTAACATCTTTGCCAGTGACGTGGACAGTGGGATCGAGTGCACCCTCAGCAAGTTCACCAACACTGAGCTGTGTGGCACAGCTGACACACCTGACACAAGGGATGCCATCCCGAGGGACCTGGGCAGGCTGGAGAGGGGGCCCAGACAAAACTCATGGAGTTCAACAAGGCCAAGGGCAAGGTCCTGCCCGTGGGTCGGGGCAATCCCCAGCACAAACCCAGGCTGGGCCCTCGAGGAGTGGCAGGAGAGCAGCCCCAAGGAGAGGGACTGGGGGGGCTGGTGGGGGGAAAACTGCCCGTGAGGCAGCCCCGTGCGCTCACAGCCCAGAACCCACCCGTGCCCGGGGCTGCAGCCAGAGCAGGGGGGGCAGCAGGGCCAGGGAGGGGATTCTCCCCCTCTGCTCCGCTCTAGGAATCTTTTAAACTGAAAGAGGGTAGATTTATTCCCTGTGCGGGCAGTGAGGCGCTGGCCCAGGGTGCCCAGAGCAGCTGTGGCTGCCCCCTCCCTGGAAGGGTTCAAGGCCAGGTTGGACGGGGCTGGGAGCACCCTGGGCTGGGGGAAGGGGGCCCTGCCCGGGGCAGGGGGGTGGAACTAGATGATCTTTAAGGTCCCTTCCAACCCAAACCATTTTATGTTTCTATGACATTGATATGTCAAAAGTTTAAATGTCCAATTATTTTTTTGTGTCAGCTGGATTTTTCAGTAAATTCAATGTAAGCTCCACTTTTCTGCTGAGCACATTAAGTGCAAACAAAACCACCCAAGATGATTTTCTAGTACAGACTGCATCCATTCCCAGCCTTTGGGAAGCAAGACTTGTTTTCTGCTTCAGTATTTTCTTCTTCCCTTTACAGAACTTTCAGCTGCTCTGAACTATAAGCTGGTAGTAAATACCACAAGCATGACTCAAATACTGATGAAAAAATTCTGGAGCCTTTTTTAAGACAGTATCTAGCTGAAAGAAAAAGCACAAGACTTGCCATATGCCATAAAAATATCAAAATTGCTAAGAGAACACAGGGGACTTTCTGGTGAAAACACAACAACACAATTTCAGTGACAAAGATCTGTCATCATCTTGATTTCTAATACAAAGGAAAAGGACGTGTAAGTCCCAAAATTACTTAAGTCTCATTTAAATCAGATCTAGAGTTAATGGAATTTATGGAAAAAATACTAGAGTATTTGATTAAGTGCTGGACTATGTCACAGGCCTAAAGATTTTTGAGACTGGAAGATAAGGACAGGTGTTGCTGTTCCAACTGAAGAAAACTGAAAATTTCAAGATGTGCTATGAATGAGAAAGAAAATCCATTTCAGCTCATTAATTCATATGAGTATTAATAAATGGTGGAAGAGTGGGAACAATAATATCCAAGAAATAGAATAGCTTGTCCCTCATCTCCCTCCCACCATACCAGCAGGCTGCAACGTTCCTAATCCCTGTGTGATTGTTCAGTCTTCAGGAGCTGTATCTTAAACCTGTCTTCCCCCTCCGCCCCCCTTTTCTCCTATGTTTTACCTGACCACATCAGGCTTTCTACTGATTTTACATGTCTTTCCATGGTAACCTTTCTCCCATACATTCAAACTGATCCCCTTCGTCTGTTTTCCATCCTCATCTCTAAGTCTTATACGACTTGAAAAATGTCATTGAAATCAAAATCAAATCACATTCTTCCCCTTCCCCTCAATTTCTCTGGGCTAAGCCATGTAGCCAAGTAAACCTCCTGTCACTCAGGCAGAAGTGACCTTTATGGTGGTTGCAGATGGCAAGAACTAGTCAGTCACAAACAGGACTGACAACATGCAGATAGGGGAGGGAAGCCAGTGCCATGTAAGAAGTGGTGACTGGAGAAATGGGAAGAAAGGCAGTACTGAATCTTTCTTTCAGATGAACACACTTCCAGTATAGTGTCCAGCATTCTAAGTAGAAAAGCATCACGTCACTCAGGAATGCTACACAAAGTCAAATAAAATCAGCGACTGTCAAGTGGCCTAAACAAATCCTCCAAGAGACAGAAACTTCTGACACAACACACACATCTTCCTACCAACATTCTTTAAAATGGAACAGGAGTGTCTTGCCCTGCTGCACATGGAGGTTGCATGCGTAACAACTGCAGATCTCCTAGGACTTCACACAACAGCTTCCTTCTCCCTCTCTACCCAAGAGCCTGAAAGCTCTCCGAACCGAAGGTTAACAGTTCAAAACTCAGTATCACAGCTTTGCTGGAGAACAAGTTCACCTTTTTGCCCTCATGAGCGTCAGCTCATTAACAAGTTTGTTTATTTTCAGAAAATGGGAGGGGAAAGCAGCTGCACTGACACTTGCTTACCTTGTTCCGGTGTTTTATATACATATATATTACAAACCTTGTCAGTTTATTTGCATCTGAATGTGAACACAGAATGCTTACTTCTTAGAAGGCTTGCTTTGTTTAGCATTGAAGACCTGCATGAAGAAGTTGCTCTTTGCATGCACTGCAGAAGCACTGACATAGCACACAGGCTCTGCATTTTGCCTGGCAGAGACTGATCTTCTCCATCAGGACATCAAGAGGGAACTTGGTGCTCTGGACACCAGCAAGGAAGGGGGTGTCTTTACTTGATTAGGATCTTTTCCCTGTGTGCTCCCTTCCTTACAGTAGAAAGCCTTAGCTGACTTTGTACAATGTTTTATTCTGCAAAGCACACTGACATATAGAACAGGGCATTCATTTCTGAATGAATGAGCAACAACTTGTTTTTGACATTCAACCATGTACCATCTACAACAAATTATTATTCACTCTTCATACTACAGCAGCATCTAGAAGTCCTGACCGATGACAAAGCATTTAGTATGTCAGGCTCTCAAGACAAGTCATTACTTTCCAAAGAGAAGCAGCAGTTCTCGCCATTTCAAAGATGAAGATCAGATGTAGATTTGAAACACAAAATCAGGACCAGGAGGAAACCACAGTACTCCTTTCTTTCCTCCTTATCATCCCAAATCATTCTTTGAATTTCAAAAAATGTGTTCATGTTGCAGATGTGAATAAGTGAATAACGTTTCATATTACCAAGTTGCATTTATTTTCTATGTAATTCGTTAGATTCCTCTGAAATGATCTGCAGGAACAGCATACACAGTCAAAATATGCTCAGTACAGTAACCCTTGTTAGAGGGCACACATACTAGCTGTGATTAATCAAGGAACAGAATTATTTAGAGGGTATGATTACTGAAACAAGATAACATGTTTATTTGGTACACGGATTTTGGAGGAAAACAAAAGGTAGAAATGCCAAAAAAAAAAGCACGAAAAAACTGTTCAGTATATGTAATAGAGAAGTTGTGGTATCTAGAAAGTATCATTGAGGAGAGTCAATAAATAGCAACTTTGATAAGTAAAAAGTGCAAGAGGTCACAGCCCAGAACAGCGTATTGCCATGAAGAACCACAACTAATACACAGATTAACAGAACCACTTTACAGTACAAGACTCAATTCTGTACTTTTTGCAGAGGACCCATTTGATTATTCTTACAGATTCTTTCAGTACCTGTAATACAGTTATAATCAGCTTCATAGTCAGTTCAAGTTTCACAACCATTGAATAGAAAAAGAAAATGCCTTTGAAAATTAGGCCATGAACTAGAACTGCTGTAAAACCAAGGGGGGGAAAAAGACCCTCACAGCCCATATTACCCCCCTTAATTCCTTCCTTCCATGTGTATCTTGATATATCATTAGAAAGCCTTCCTGTCCTACTTCCTAAGAGCCCTTCTCTGAGTATTCTGTAAGGTTTCTTCCCTGGGAAGCCTGCTTTAAAAATTAAACCACTGTTTAGCAACAGTAGGTCTCATTAAAAGGTGCATTTACCACACAGTAGTATTCTCTATATTTAGAACTTGAAATATATCAAATACCACACCAAATGTAACTATCGTGGGTGGTAAACATCCAGTTTAATGCCATCCACTGTATTTGTGTGAAAAACAGTTTTATAAATAGCTTCCAAAATTCTGCTCAACATAGGCATCTAATAATATCTTAAGATATTTTACACTTTTTCATTTCTTCTACCAAAACAAGTGTTAGGCCTACATTCTCTGCCAAGCACTCACCTGGAACAAGTACTGTGGGCATGTTCTGAACAGTAACTCAGCTGGGCTGCGAAACGTGAGAACTAACCTGAAATTCATCAGGAGCATTCTGGTCTGCTTTTTAGGCTGGAGAATTCATAAAATCTTTCTGTTTAGATTTGGATGTCTTCCTATTCAAAGGCAGCTGGAAACACAGGAGTTATGTTGGATCAAACTGTTCTCAGCAGCTACAACTGTTTTACGCCCTTTGACAAGAACTTTTCTATTGTTTCCATGAGCTCTTAGAATTTTTTCTTGCCTAAGTAGTAGCTTCAGAAATTTCAGGTTTGGTTTGCAAGTTGATGATAATTCATGCAGATCTGCATTCCTGTAAATCTATAATAAACTGATGTCTGGCACAGAAGATAATTCCTCAGAAATATTGCTCCTTTCACAGTGTAATCAAGATATAGCTAGTTCAGAAGGGCCTCATGTTCCCCTTTTGTAAGCCTTCTTTTTTTTTTTTTGTTTTAATCCTAATCTTCTGTTTAAGATGTGTGTCTGCATCTATTTATGTTCACTGGCATTTCTCTGTGATGCAAACTGGATTTTCTGAGATGCTGGGAGTTCACAACTCCAATAGAAGTTGGCAGGCGCAACACATGCTCATCATGATGAACAGATACAATAACAAAAGACCAGAAGGAGCCCTATGTCACCACCTTCTCAGGCCATTTCCTCAGACTGAATTTATACACCAATCATAAGCAATTAAGCAACCGGTTTCTTCGTCAAAGTCTTCTCAGAACAACAAGAAAAAGTCATTCTTTCTTCAATGGCATTGCATCAAGGCAAAATGTCATTCTATCTGTGGGTAAGAATGTAAATTCCTGTGAAAAAGACCCATGAAACGATTTTTAAAATATTATCATTTTCTATGCATACTCATGCCTTCTAGTCTTAGAAAAAACTTCTGCACTTTCCAACTATTGTGTTAATCATGGGCAATCCTCCTCTAGCACTTCTGAGCTATGCAACCCAAAGATGTCCATCCACATCCACGAATGCTATGATTTCAGGTGTGCCAAGTCTAATGTGGAGATTAACAAAGAGCCATGGAATGTCCTGCCCCACATCCAATTAAGATCTGTTTTGCATAACCAAGAGCGTTGACTGGCTTCGGGGTGTAAACATTTGCTTCTGTGCCATCACCACACATCCCATGTTCGTTCCATCCCCAAGAGAAGCACTGGCCACCTAAAAGAGAAGATACAAAATATAGAATAAATACCACAAACACAATAGCTTTCTTTCGTTTTGGGGAGCAGATTTGTCAGGTCATCTTCTAATTAGGGTCTAAGAAATTAGGTGGGGAAAAACATTCTGGTTCTCTTGAAATTGTAAATAAACCCAAATTCATTACTCTCTATCTTGTTCCATATTGTTAACAATGTGAGAGAGATAAAATCACTTAGTAAATACATGGTTCAGTATTTATACAGAGCCCAAAGAAATATCTCCCCATTTTAAGGATCCTCCCTGAAATTATGTGGAATCCCTATCTTTCCAGTTCCCTCTAGTAAGCAAAACTATCACAAACCAAGCCCAGTGACTTCAGTAATTCACAGCATGATCTGCAGGATTGGGGAACACAGAGTCACAAAGCAGCCAAATTACATTTCAATCCTACTTTCATATACACATCTCGCCTCTTTCCATTAAATACAAGTCTCTGACAACTTGCCTTACTTCTTCTGCTTGCTTTAACATAATTTCACTGCTTTCATTATCCTTATTTTCCCTCATTATTATTTATTTTTGTAACATCTACTCTTTTATACCCCAAATCATGATCCATGTATTATTATTACCCCATAGTACTCTTTCTTGAAGCACAGTATGTAAATTTTGTTCTGTAAATGGCTGGCATAATAAAAAATCCATGCAAAAAACTCCTATTCTGAACTACTAGAGATATTTCTTCCTATTTTCTTTTCTTTATTTGGCTGTCACAGACTGTGCCTGTGAATTTCTGTAATAAAAAAGAAAGCCATCCTGCAATATAATAATGTTTCTGATGCCACTGTTATTTCTGAAAAGCAGCAGGTATTAACAGCATGAAGTACCATTCTGGAGTCCAAATAATGAGAAGAAAAGTGCCAAAATTCACAAAATGCAATCCCAATCATAATTCTAAAATAAATTTTCCTTTTCAAAATTCAGAAACTGACTATTGCAAACCTAGCAGGACCATCTTTCTCTTCTGCAAATCCAGTAACATTTAATTGTTATCAGTTTTCTTTACATATCAGTATATTAAAATTCTCCTTTTCTGTAATTAAGTGTAAACATTACTCAAGTCAGAGGTAATTAAACAATGGTCTTTAATTTTCTCGACAATCTTTAAGGCAATGGAACACAACAAAAACACCACTAGAATGTCAGAGTAGGCTAGATACATCTCATCTAATACAGCAGTTCTGTTACTCTTATCTTAGAAGGCACCAGATTTTCTCAAGACTGTGCATGTGCAATATTGACAGCCAAACCTGTATCACAAATGCACATGCATGTGCTGCAGAAAAGTACCAAAAAGTTAATGTTCAACATATCCCATTTAAATATCAACAGATCAGAACATCTAAGAGGTTAATTGGAATTTTTTTGGTAAGGTTCCAGATAAAAATATTTATGTAAATATTAACAAACAGGAAAAAGACATCACAAACCAAGACTAAAGACATACCACAGAACAATTATTCAGGGAAAAAATTCAAAGAAAGAAAACCAGCTGCACCTAAGAAAAGGCATTCTTTTGCACAGTTATTATATGGAACCTGCAGAATAAGCCTACTTTGAGTGGGAAAACTTCTGAGTTTCATGAAAAGGGAATATAACGTGTCCTTACACTAGCAAGATGACTGTAGTAAGCTTTTTGTTACTAGATCACTAGCAATTAGTACAACAGCTTGCATGTTTGTCTGGAGGCTCACTATATTTGACTATAGGATTGTATTTGTTTTTATCCTGTCCCATCAGGACAAGGGAGAGGAAGCCATAAAGTTTTTGGTCACCTTGAATTACAAACTACTCAATAGAACATTAGTGGCATAATAAATATTCAAAGAAACAGCACAGTAGGGTATTAACCTCTCAAATTGTTAAATATATCTAATCAAACAACTTTTGAAAAAACATCACAGAAAAAATTACAAGCTAGGAAACCCCTAGACAAGAACAACTCCCCTAAAATAAGGATCACTGAGTATTTTCCAGCCTTTACTTCTCCCAAGCATATAGACAGGCCACAAAATAGATCTTTCTACATGACTCTAGTGAGCTCCAAGGTTACCAAAATGGGCCGAGAATGAAAACTGGCAAAAGAAAAATAGAGAGCAAGTAGAATTTATGACTGGTCATATACGAAAATGCCTCATACATATATGGAAAGCTAGGCATAAATCTGAAGGGGTGAAAGGGCAGCTGACAGATACAGAATGACAGGCCACAAAAAGGATTCTCATCACCATCAGGTCAGAAGTCAGGGAGGCTAAAGAGCAGAGAATTATTGTTGTGAAAATAAAAGGTATACTCTACCACATCTGCCCATAGAAGATTTAGAAAAAGGTTTGTAAAAAAAGCCAGATACTAGATTTCTGTCAGAGAAACATCATCTGCAGAAAACACAGAGTTCATTTTTTTGTAATAATATATTATCAACTTGGAGGAGGGCTGGGCAAAATGACTGCAGTGACACTGGCCAGGAGGGAACAAGCAGCTATGTGAATCACTGGCACAGAAGTTGAAGTCAAAGATTGAAGATAATGAAGCACCCATTTTAAAAATGCCACAGAAAGAATATCTGAAGAGTTAGATAGGCCTTCATTAAGGGGAACTAATGGCTAGTCTTGGGACAAAGGGCACCACTTAATTTCAATTCCTTTTCCTTCCCCCCCTTTCTTTTTTTTTTTTTTTTTTCTTGTTTTCTTTTTGATTGCTTCTATTCACAGTTTATTGCTGATAAAAACCTCAACACAGCCTCAGCAGCTGTACATGCTTTCAGGAGAAAATTCAATTTTTCTGCCGGTGCCATACCTTCCCAGGCTGAAACACCATTAGAACGATGTGTATTAATACAGCTACCAATTGCTTTAACTAAATTTAAAACAAGCACTGTAGCACATTCTCAAACCAAATGATTTGTGTTTGGTGAGGTGAGGAGGAAAAGTTGCTCGATGTCACTGATCAAATGAAACAGCATAATACATCGCATTCACCTTTTCCCTCTTAAAACACTGTGGTTTAACCTGGCAGGCAGCTAAACACCACACGGCTGTTCGCTTGCTTCCCCCCGATGGGATGGGGGAGAGAATTGGAAAAATCGTAAAACTCATGGGTTGAGATAAAGACAGTTTAATAGGACAGAAAAGGAGGGGAAAATAATAATAATGATAAAAGAATATACAAAACAAGTGATGGAGAGTGCAATTGCTCACCATCCATTGACTGATGCCCAGCCAGTCCCTGAGCAGCGATCTGCCCCCCTGGCCAAACCCCCCCCCCCCCCTCCCCAGCTCTATTCTCTGAGCATGACACTATAGGGTCTGGGGTGTCAGTGGGGGTCAACTGTCCCAGCTGTGCCCCCCCCAGCCCCTTGTGCCCCCCAAACACTCACTGCTGGGGTGGGTTGAGCAGCAGAGAAGGCCTTGGCTCTGTGTGAGCCTGCTCAGCAGTAACGAAAACATCCCTCTGCTACCAACTTTATCCTCATCCTAAATCCAAACCACAGAACTATACCAGCTACTAGGAAGAAAATTAATTCTATCCCAGATGAAACCAGGACAAATGTAAATACTCAGAGTGCACACAAGACCACAGAACTCATGGCAACACAGCATAATCCTAAAGGAATTTCTCTTGAGTTCACAGTCACACTGATGAAAGTCTAGAATAAGACTATGGGGTTTTTTTCCTCAAACATTAAACGTACAAAAAAATGAGAAGAAAAAAAACCTTAACAGATCCGTTTTGGTCACACACAACAAGAAGGGGCTACTGCCCTCCTTCTATTTGCAATAATTATTGAGGCTTTTTTCAAGGTAACTGAAGTGACAACTGAAATCCAGAGGTTGATTAAACTGGCAAAAAGTACTTCTAGGTAAAATAAAGCTGCAGCATATTGGACAGAGGACAGGATTCTGGGGGAAGTGCAGAATTGAGAGTCACTCCTTGTTGCCAAGTACTCTGTTCTTCAGATGCAAAGAATCAGTGTTAACAAATAAGATGCTCTGGGTGAGATTCACTGCATTAGCTTCAGCCACCTAAAAATCAAGCAACTTGGCTATAGATCATTATCCTCTAGTTTTTCTCAAGAGTCAATGGAGTCATGCACATCTCTCCAACAGGCAACTCATCCAAACACTGGTGCCAAAAGCAAATCTCTCTCACTCTGGTGACGACAGAGGGAGACCAAGTGATTGTCTTAGCCTAGGCATATCAGTTTTAAACAGCTGAAGACAGGTTATGATAAATCACATCCTTACAATTGGTCTGTAGGTAAAGCAAGGAAAACTGGAAACAGGGAAGCTACAAATATCACTGCAGCCTAGTTTCAGGCTACAAGCAGTCTGTTTCTAAACCAGCCTGTGCCCTGGAGGCTTATCACTGAAATCTTTAAAAGCTTGTCTCTCTTCTGTTTCTCCTCTCCCACTCTTCCAACCACACAAACAAACAGAAGTTTGCTTTAAAGACAACCCAAGTATCTTGAAGCCAATCTATTCATCAGACAGCTTCACATTTTAAGGATCTGTTAAAATATTTTAGTACAGCTCTATTGTATAGGCTCTGAGCTCTTAGCAATATTCCACAACATCTGAAATTATTTTTAACCTTAAATTAGTGCTACTCTACAGATGGTTATAGATAAAATTACAGTAGGCAAGAGATCAGCCCAGGGAAAGTCAAATGATGTTAAACAGCATCAGGGCTGGACCACAAACAAAATTCCAGTGTCTCAGCCATCCCCCCTTGACTATTTGAAAGCATTCAAAACCTCACAAGGAACAATACAATACTACACAGAAGGAGATTTAGACTATACTTCTCCCCAAGAGTTGTAAAACACAAGTGAATAAGTCTTCCTGTTTTTTCGTAACATCTGTCAATCCAGGGTGTCATAAAATAAAAGAAATATCCCTCTAAATTTTTGGGGTTTTGTTAGCAACAATTCTGTCATTAGAGCAAAAGATGTGCAATTT